AAGAGGATAGCTACTCCTGCTTTTTTTTGGGTTCTAATCACATGGAGTATTGTTTTCCACCCTTTAACTTTCAGTCTATAAGTTTCATTTTGAGTTAAGTGTGTTTCCTGTATGCAGCATATTGTTGGATCTTGCTTCTTGACCCATTCTGCCAGTCTATTTCTTTTGATTGGTGAATTGAGACCATTAACTTTGACAGTTATAACTGATACGTATTGACTTATCATTGTCATGACTTTTTCTTTTTGTTGGATTCTCCCCCTTTACATTTAATTTCTTGTCCTGCCTGATAGGTTCATTCTGCTGTGTTTCCTGGGGTTGTGATCCTCATTGTCTGTTCCTAAGATATTGTCTAATATTTTCTGGAGTGCTGATTTGGTATTCATGAAGTTCCTAAGGTGCTCTTTGTCATGAAAATATCTTATTTCTCCATCAAATTTGAAAGATAGTTTTGCAGGGTACATCAATCTGGGTTGGAGGCTGTTTTCTTTTAGGGCTTGGAACACGTCACTCCAACTCTTCTTGCCTTGAATGTTTGTGTTGAGAAGTCTACTCTGATTCTGATGGGTTTTCCTTTGTATGTGATTTGTTTCTTTTCTCTAACTGCTTGTAGAACTTTATCCATCTGTTGGGTTTCTGGAATCTTAACAATTTTATGCCTATGTGCAGATTTTTTTTTGATCAAGGCTATTTGGAGTCCTATATGCCTCACTTATCTGTATGTCAGGTTCTTTTCCCCTGCTTGGGAAGTTTTCTGCCATTACTTCTGTGAAGAGTTTTTTTTTATGTCCTCTGCATTCTCTCCTGTTTCTTCATTGACTCCAATCAGTCTTATGTTATTCTTCTTGGCATCATCTAGCAGCTGCTGGATTGCTTTCTCGTGTTCCCTTACAATTTTGAATCAATTTTTCTTTTCCTGGTCAGTAATTGCAATCTTTTCTTCCATATCTGAAATTCTGGCCTCACATTGGCTCCTTCTGCTGTTTAGACTTTCGATAGAGTTTTTTATCTCCTGGAAATCTGTTTGCATCTGTTTTATGGATTCCATTTGTTTCCTGTGTTGGGATTCCATCATGTTCCTCTGCTCCTGTCTAGATTTATTAATCATGACTTGCACTATTAGCACAATCTCTGCTGTTATCTGAAAAAATGTTTCTGTTTTCATTTTTTCCAGATCCTCTTTTGTTGCTAATTCAGGGAATCCAGGTTGTTGAGTATCAGATTTTTTCCATCTTGTTTCCCTTTGGGGTTGCTGTAGGTGGTATGGAAGTTTGGTTTTGAGTCTTGTTTACCTGTCTTCTCATTTGGCTGTGGGGGGGGGTTGCTGTTGGTGCCCATGTGGCTCATCTCCTCTGAGCTGGAAGCAGTGGAATGGTGGCCTGGAAGCCCCTTCCTCTGGGCTGGGAGGGGTGGAACAGTAGCCCAGAAGCCCCTACCTCTGGGCTGTGAGCACTGGAATGCGAGAATAGTGAATTTTAAAAACATTGTGTTCTCTCTATATTTTTTCTACTTAAATTTAGGTTTACTCCATTTTGAGTTAATTTGTGTATATATTGTGTGGAAGGGGTCCAACTTCTTTCTCAAATTAGGTTCCCAGATCCTTTGAATTTCTGCATGAATTTTAAAATCAGCTTTTTACAGCTTTGGGATGTGCCCAACTAGCCCTGGGATGATTATTTTAGCAGGGGTCTCTTTTTCCCTGAGTTCTGTGTTATACTGTCTGCCTCTGTTGTTTTCACACTCAACTGTTAGCCTTCACTAATTGCTGACTGATTGTTCTATTGTTTTCAAGAGTGCTGTTGGGGCTTAGATTGCTCCACAGTCTTAACAGTTGAAATCAGTTTGAGCTCTGTTATAGAAGTTGTCTTTGAAGCTAGTCTGTGGATTTATTTGGACCCCCAGAGAGTTAATAAAAAAGCTTTTCCTCTGGTTCTCTCTGGTAAATTCATAGCTGATCTGTGATTTAGTTTACTACCCTTGTGACACTTGTTTCTCCCCCATTGTTTTTGAGTGTGATTTTGACTTGAAATTTCTTAACCATTTATTTATTTATTTATTTATTTCAATGAAGTAAGTTGTTTTGGGAGAGCTTTGAAGTTCTGTTTTTTAGCTCGCCTCTTCTACTGGGGAAATCCTCTGTGCCATTGTTTAGAGAGATACCACTACTATGAGCAGGATGCTGAGTAGGGACTTGGTCTTTTACGTTTCCATCTTCTAGCCTAGAACTTTGTCTTATGAGAGAGGTAGCATGAATAAACATTATTTTGTCCCAGTATTCTTAGTCTAGAACCCTGATGAATAGTTACCACCTGTGAGTGGGGGCTAGGTAGAAATCTCTCATATCTTTCCTGGGATAGTTGTTTTACCATTTTGGGGAGGGGAGAAAGTGGGGGATGAAAAGTTCTGGTAGCCTAATAGTGAGGTATCATTGGACTGGAGTGGGAGCTGAATGATGAAGAAGGTTTCTGTACTTTGTGTTCTTGGCTTTAACCACCTAGGGTAGAAGTTCTAAGGGAGTAATGGATCTGATGCCATATACGATTTATATTCTTACCAACCTTAAGTTGATATAAGTATTTCCTTATTTACTATTGTGATTGATGGGGAAACAGTTTTAGACTGCTTAGTAGATTAACTATTAATGTAATTGTAGAAGCAAAATAGGTAGTATATCCCTTTAAAAACTTGCCTTAGCCCGTTGCTTTTGTTGTTTACTGTGAAGGTTATATAGCTCCTTTTATCTGTAGCTCTACTATAGATAACATCTTAACTCTGAAGAACAAAGTTGCAATACTTGAGCAAACTTGTGCTATATGTGCCTTAACTGTTATGTGTTTAGGACTGTAATCAGTAACAGAAACCACCTGTGTCTAACCATTAAACAGGAATTGGAATTTTATTTACTTGACAAAGACCACTAGGAATGAGATAATGACTAACAAAGGTATAAAAGCGGAGACTAACAAAGAGCGCGGGGCGGACACTGACCAGAACAGTTTCTGGTGGTCCTGCCTGCTTCCAAGTAAACTTTTATTATCTTACCCAAATTCTGTGTCTCGGTGTATTTCTTTCCACAATTTCCAGAACATGATTAGTAAAATTTTATGAGACTTTAAGTGTGTGTGTGTGTGTGTGTGTGTGTGTGTGTGTGTTTATGTGTGTCTACTATTTCTTACTTACCATAGTTTTCTCCTTGGTGAGAATGTTTGTGGAAGTTTTCATACTGCCTAGAGATCAGTCTCCTGTTCTTTAAGGATTGAAGAATTAGAGATACTACATATATCATATAACTATAGTATACATACTAAGCATGTTTACATTCTTTGTTCCAAGGTTTTGCTCAGCACAGTTACAAAATATTATTTCATACTATCATGCACATACATATTCATTCAGAGTGATTACAGTTGTGAACATATATTTACTGAACTTCCTCTCAGCTATATTTTAAATAAAAGAACATTTATATTATTTTTACTGTTTCTCAAAAATGCATTATTAGTATAATTTTTAATTATACACAAAATATGGATGTATCTAAAAATAGTCTTGAGCAAAAGGACCTACACACAAATGAGTACAATTATATGATTCCATTTATGTAAAGTATGAAACAGCAAAACAAACCCATGTTATTTGAATCAGGATAGTGGTAATGGTTTCTTTTGCTTTTGATCTAGGTTCTGGTTACTTAGTTGTGTTTATCTTGTGAAAATATATTAGATTTTAGATTTATATTACCTGTACTTTTTCATATCATATTATACTTGTATAAAAAGTTAATAAGTTTATTAAAGATTCCATATTAATTTTATAGTTTTAACCAAATATAATTTAGAGTAAATTTATTATATTTAACTTTACTCATTTTGCAACTTTGAAATGATGTTTTGGTCCTCTAGTGTTTTCTACCTTAATAAATGAAAAAATAATTTAAAATATAAATTATTATGGTAATTAACAATTTTGCTTGATATTTGTGTTTCCTCAAAGCACGTTAGGATACTGAGACTCTTCAAATATTTCTTTTTAAAAACTGATGCTTAGCGGGCATTTTTAAGTGTTAAAAAAAAGCCATGTTTTCCCTCACAACTCCAGGGAATATTCTATATGCAAATTCAACCCTTTATATAATATATAAAATCAGGGAGGTCTCTTTATCCTTTGTAATACATTTTTAAATTTTATTCTGTAGGACTATTTTGAAAGAAAGTGGGTTTGCCAGATACCTTCATTCAGCTGTTCTTATCAATGGAGCTATGCTTATTTTTGGAGGAAATACCCATAATGACACTTCCTTGAGTAACGGTGCAAAATGTTTTTCTGCCGATTTCCTGGCATATGACATAGGTATGTATCTGTTAGGAATGTATAACATAGGAAATATCAGAAGTTTTCCATATAAAGATTCTTAAATATATTCATTGCAGCATGTATGTATGTCATTTTAGAAATAAATTTAGTGATAGATATGAATGACGTTCTCTCTAATTCAGCATAGTAGAGTATAGAACCAAGAAAACAGAAATGCTGGAATGAGTTAATGGTGGAGACAGTAGTGTATTAAATGTCCATTTTGAAGCCTTTTTGTGTATCGTGTCACTATGTGAACACTATATCACACTACTGTTTGTGACTATATTAGTTTTGATAATGAATAGATATAGAGTATTGTCAAGCTATGCAAATTATAAGTAGGAATGCAAACATTTGAGATTTAGGAACAATGAAAAAGTTACACTTATATTAAATTATACTTAGCAAGTATAGGAACCTGGTAGAACTAGAGAAAGGGGTATGGAGAAAGTATTGCTAAAAAAATAAGATTATGAGACAAAATAGAAACTCAGAATGTACTTCAGAAAGGAAACAACTAATTCTTTTTCTAGGGTATCAGAAATACAGCACATTTGTATTATCCATTTAGTTTTAATGATGCTATCTAGAGTGCTGTTTATTTCTGAATATTTAAGTGATATATTTATTGAAATACTGTTTAACTTTCCACTAGGGCATGGTAGTAAAGTCATTGTTTCTCTTTGTATCATATTATTGATAAAACCTCATTGATACTGTGATGAACAGTTTAAGACTGAGCTGTTTGTTGGGAATAGCTACAAGTTGGGAATTTATTCTATATTGTTTAAGATTATATTTCAGGTTTGATGTGTCAGAAAAGCTTACTGAGGTAAAAAATTTAGAGATTTTTTTGTTTCAGAAAACTAAAGGAAGATGTTAAATTATCAATATTATTGCTACTTTTAACCTGAAGAAACCATAACAAATTTAATTTTATCCTAAAATGGGAAATACTTTCAAATTATAGCCCCAAATCTTAATCTTACTACTCTTTTTTTTTTTGGTACCGGGAATCAAACTTGGGACCTTGTGCTTGGGATGCAAGCGATGGAACCACTGAGCTAAATTCTCGACCCCTATGTTACTACTCTTTATTAAATCCCTTCTAAATGGTAGGCAGTATGCTAAAGGACTTATATACAAAATCTGATACCTCTCTAACCTTGTGACAAGATGGTATTACCCTCAATTTTAAGATTAAACAGACAGTAATAACAAGAACTTGTTCAAAATCATGTGTGTTGTAAGTGATAAATCTAGTTTTTGCAACTTCTAAAACTTGTAATCTTTTACTTGACCATACCACACTGATTAATTGGGTCCAATGCAGTGGTGGCGAACCTATGGCATGCGTGGCACATTGGGTTGTTTGTTATTATTGAAAGCTCTAAAAAGTTTGCCATTACTGGTCTAGTGTATGTTCTTAAGGCTACATACATTCACAGATACTTTATGTTTATTACTATTTATTTTTCAATGCTATGGATAGAAGTAAATATCAGTTTCACTTTTTCAAACAAATTGTTCAGACTGGAGGAACAAGAAAAGTATATTTTAAACAGTTTATATTTTAAAAGGATTTTTTTGTCTTGTGCTAACACTGACAGTTAAAACATGAAATCAGTCTTATAATTTAACATAGAACAAAGGTATTTTATTTTGTTTGATTATATGTATTTAATTCCTAGGAAATTTCCCCCATATAATATGTATTTATCCTCTTGGGTTAGCAGCATCAAATGTTGGACTATTTTCCTGAGAAGAACATTTTCATCTTATTTTTCATACATCAGAAAATATCTTTCAAAGTAATTATTTTCCTATGGCATATGTTTTATGGAAATAAATGTGAGCATGGCATAATGAACAAACTAGGAATTACGTCTTCCATGAAAAAATACGTTGCTAATTTTTCTCTTTAGTATAGTATACAATAGAACTTTTTGGCATATTAACTAGAATGCACTTGACTACTTAGCTGTTTACCTTATGTTATATGATTTTCAAACAGTTAAGAATATTTGCGCCATTCCTAATATTTCATTGTTGTAAACTGTACAATTTCAACCTTACTGCCAGAGCAACGTTAAAGTAGTGAATATCATTAATCTTTGGAAATATAACCCTGCTTTCACAGGTGTCATATTATGCATGATAGATGTAGATGGTGTATACTGGTGATTTTCAAACAGGGTATCCTGGCATCCCCTGTGAAAGTGGTTAGGAGAAAAATAACAGACCTATATAATCAGATTCTTTGAGATTAGGCACTAGATATCTATATTTTTAAAAAGTGACTAAAGTACAGCTGTTAATAAAGTAAAAATTATTGAGTGAGTCTGGATCGAATGTAACATATAGCATGAGACATTACTTAGTATTGCAGTTTGTAAATCTAGCTTGAAGTGAAATTTTAGAATCTGGAAACTTCATTGTTTTTTGTTATTGTTAGTGGTATTATTGTGCTTTCAAAAAGCTACCATGGTGATACCTTTTTCAAGATTAAAAGATTTTTTTTTGTAAAGACAGTCTTCTAGTCAAAATTCAGATAAAATTGTGAAACAAGATGAAAAACAACTTATTAATAATATTTCCCTTCAAAAAGATAATAGATGATAGAAACATGAAAATGTAATTTCCTGCATTAGATTATTTCAAAAATTGGAAAGGAATAGGATTTGTATGAAAAATCTATCTTGCAAGAAGCAGGACAGCTGAATCTTCAAATCAGATTGAATTAATAATAGAGTTTAAAAAAAATTCCCTGAGCTGACAGTTTTACTTACAACATTAATTTCTTGGTAAGTTAATATTTAAAAACACAATCTTCAAACAGTAAAAGATAGTTCTGTATTTGAAGAACCATATCAGTTGAATTGGTAATGTATAGTAACCATTTTATAGTATGGTGGAATTGTAGTTCATTGTACTCTTCAAATTGTCACTAGTTATGAGGCATGGCGTGCACAATTTCGTACAACCCTGTGGAGTGATACGTATAGATGTATATAGAACGGATGCAGTTTTGTAAGACCCATAATTTCATAGCAAATCATACTGAAATTAAATCCTCTAAGTTTTGGGGACATTCCAACAAAGGTATGAAAATTCAAACTGGCTTGCCCCTCATGTTTATAATTATGTTTATTTTCTGGGAGTTATTAATTTCTCTGTTTCTCTTATCCTATTTATCTGTGACCTTCACTACAGTCTTAAAGCTATTCCTTAATGAAAGCATCACCATCTGCCCAGTCACTTGAAAGAACCATTTCATTTATTTGTAGGTCAGGAAAACCCGTAAAATCATTCACGTATCTTTTTCAATGAATTAGCTAACAGTTGATGTTTTAAGATATATTGTATCTTTTGCTTGAGGCATTCTTCTTACCTGTAGCAGTAGATAGAAGAAAGAGTGATTCTTCTTCACTCTCTTCCTCCTTCTTTTTGTCAGCTAATAAGTTAAAGGAAAAGTGACCTTTTAATTTGCAAAAAGGGAGAACTCACATTTGTCCAGTATTTCCTATAGTGCTTGACTCTACAGATGCTTTATACTGTAATACTTATAACATCTCTATAGCATGTATTATTATATTCAATTTATAGAGGAAGACTCGGTGATTTACCCTAGTTGAACTCAAAGGTACAAGGGTTGTAAGATGGATAGAATTTGAAGTCAAGTCTAAATTCAAAGTCATTTGTTTCTACCACTACACTATTATGTTTATTTTTCCTAATCTAATAAAAAAAATCTCAATCACCTTTTAGTTGGGAAGAGAAGATGCAGTATTTACTACTGTGAATAAGACATTCAAAAATAGACACTTAAAGTAAGACACTTAAAATATATTTTAAAGTGTATTTTACAATTTTATTGTGCCAACTTCTCCCACAAATTGATCAGAGGATAATGATCTCATTGTAGAAAATCCAAGAGAGGTAGCTTCATGTTCCAGCGTCCTGTGGTGGAGACTGGCTGCCCTGGGGTCCTTGGCCATTAGCCAGGACATGCTGGCTATGGGGCAGAAACAGAGGATTGTATGTTTAGGAGGAACCTGGAGTGGGGGTTAGGTTAACTTAATGAGGATCCACAGGTCCAGAAACTATGTGATAGTGTCTTACTACTTTTCTTGTTACTGGAACAAAATACCCTACACCCACAAGTTAAAGGAGGAAAGGTTTATTCTGGCTCACAGTGATAGAGGTTTCAGTCCATAGTCAGCTGGAACCAAGGCAGGTTGGCCTGGCAGAGGGGCATCACAGAGAGGAAACAGTGCATAGCAGAGCAGGCAGGAGGCAGCAGTAGCAAGTGGAGTGAGCCTACCTTCTCTCTATCCCTTTAAATTTCATCCAGACTACAAGCTTTTTGTGTGGTGCCACCTACACTTGGGGGCAGGGCCTTCTGTCTTCAGAAGGCATTCACTCACCCCCAGAACTATGCTAATTCCATTCGGTGGACTTAATGTAGTACCACACACCCTTCATCCCATTATCACACACTCTAGGTCCAGCCAGCTCTGAAAAGCCCCTCCTATGAGCCCCACAGGAGTGGGATGTCTAGATATAAGCCATAACCTCCTGACTTCAAGGAAATTATCCTGAGCCCCATTGTTGGATTATTTTAAGCTAAATTTTGGTATTTTTTCCATATTTTAAAAGTTGAAATAGATGGTGACAAAGAACAGATGGCACTATACCTTCCCACATGCACTGTGCACTAGATGAGAATTATTTCCAAAGATATGAGTGGTGGTTAATGAGGGCAGCTAAGAGGAGGAACCCTGACATTATACTTATGGGGATACCATGGTCATTCCCTGAATTGGCTGGGAAAAGGTTTCAATTGGCCTTATGTAAATATTCAGCTGAATGCCTACCATATTGTGTACTAGATTTTGGTTGCTAAGCATTGTATGATTTGGATGTTGATTATATTGGAACTTGGAATGAAAGGATATTTAATATCAGTTTTATAAAGGTATTAAGAAAGGTGC